AGGATTTTCTCCTCAAAGTGAGGGCAGAATATCTCCCATTTATGATGCACAGCCTTGAGATCCATTGGGTTGTGCATCTGAAAGATCCAAGACATGTCACTCTTCTCATCCTGAATGTCTTTGACATAGAAAGGGCACTCGAACCAGATGCAAAGGGTGGTAAATGATATGAAAAGAGTCTCAAGATCGTGTTAGTATTGAATTTCCAGCTGGTGATCTATGAGCCAAGCAACCATCATGTCCAAGTGTATAAAAGGCCAGGTACCCTTCATGAAAGGTCAGCTTGATACTTCAAAGCTCAAATAATTCGCACCATAGCATTAGAAGGTTAACCATTACTTTCTCCCAGTGTTTCATTCACCCAGTTAGAGGGGGGGTTCCCATGCATTGCGCCATGAATGAAAGTCTGAGTGTTCAAGCATGTAAGTGTGCCATCTACAAGCTCCTATAGGGGAGGGATGGTGTAGGTAGCAAGAGAAGTGACAGGGAGCTCAGCAGGTGCAGGGTACAAACAGTGACACATATTATCTTTTTTGTCCCCATCAACAAGCTTCTGTGGTGGCACTTCTCATTTGATGGGTTCAAAGACTTTGACATTTTCATCAGTCAAGGGAACAAACCCTGGTTCTGATCTCTCCAGTGCTGCAAAACCCCAGTCGATCAGCAACCCTCGGCGGACTAGATCACGGAGTTATCTTGGAGTACAGTCTCAGACAGCTTAAAGCTCTTGGAATACCTATTCCCTTTTTATAGGGAAATTCAAACATCTTTGAGATACCATCATAAAGTTCCATGGGCTCATGTCGTGATGAAGGATATAATAGGATCTCCTCCCAGAATTTGCTGAGTCACTATAAGCTTGCTTGTGCACTGAGGAACATCGGGGTTAGTGTTATCATCTTGAAATAGGCTGCAAACACTTGTACTCCAAAAGATCCCTCAGGACACAGAGTAACTCCAAGAAACTGGTAAACCAATAAATAGGGGTGCCGATGGGATATAAGTAACTTTGAACGTGGCTGCATGTGATGAAGTGACAGTTTGTCTTGTGACCCTTTTTGTCATCATCAATGATCTGTGGCATATGTGAAATCGAAGCTGTGGAAGACAGTGATGGAGGATTTTGTTTCTTCTCCTTCCCCTTGGCCAATTCCTTCAATCTGGTCTTCATCTTCCTGGCTGGCAGTATGAAAGAATCCATCCTGTAAATTGAGTCAAAAGGGATGACTTGTGGTCCCTCATCTTTGTTTCCAAATTGTCCTTCTGGTACATGATTTGGGTAGCATATGATGAGACTCGCAACCTCCATATACTCCACCAAGAGCGGATGTATATGGTATTGTCGATGAATTGAGGTTGGTAAACCACAGGTATAGGAGGGGCGGAGGGTAAAACAGTCCCCTTGCCATGATCAATTTTCCTAGTACGAAGACAAGAGCGGTCATGTGCTACACTGATGCTAGCACAAAGTTCTTGGTCTTTCTTATTTAGTTTTGTTGTCTCTGATAGTGACCGGGTTAAGCTTATATCATGGCGGATATAAATGTTCAGTATTTATATGGTTATCTTCTGCTACTACTGTTTGGACTGATTTCTATGCAAAGCATACAGAGTATGATAGGGCTATCCAATCTATAGGCTCTTATCAGAAACAGGTTCTGACCTCAATACCCTACCCCTCATCCACACTCAGCTAACAGAATAACATGCAGGGTTGTAACATCATTAGAGGCAAAAGAAGCCAAAATCGTTAGGCTGCACACAGAAATACAAGAGCTTGATCAAAAACTTCAAGATCAGAGATTTTCTAAAGTGTGTTCAGGGAGAAGTGAAATGAAATTTGTGCATTTAAACTTTGCTTCTGACCTCCAAACCATTCTAGCCCAATACTAATACAGAAAGGGTTGCACCAGACCCTGCCTCTTATGTGTGAATCAGCGATATAGTATCCAAACCGGTGGACACAGGTCATTTGAAAGAAGAATTTGAAAGAAGAGACTGTAAAGCTCAAGGCTTGTATGAAAATGATTAACAAAAGAATTGATATGTAAGTGTATGCAACAGGGTAGACAGCAACCTGCCTCTACCTCTGACATGCTATGAGATGCCTTAACACCAATTTAGAGTTTTTACATAGTCTGCGACATATATGACAATATCTGCGGCTCGCCAGTCCTCTGATGTAAGAGAAGTTCAGAAGCAGGAAGAGGTGCTTCAGGTACTCATTGAAGTCTTCTTCCACTTCTCTCCACTCCAGTGACTCTATCCTTGAGTCATGTAAGTTCAGCTTCACTCTCTGAGTCAAAGTGGGCAACATGTGGTGTATGATCATTGCTCATGCACTGGAAAATTAGTCATGGCAAGGGGACCATTTTACTGCACCTCAGGCAGCAGTTCTTGGTACTATTAAAGGTCTGTCAGACCCTATTTTTATGTTAGGATTATATGGTCTAAGAGACCCGGCCTCACTGATGTTCTAATTATAGCACACCTTCCTTCCTCCAGAATTCTCCTGCAGCGCCTCCCTCAAGCCTCATAGCCCTCTCCTGTTCCTCTGGATATTCCGTACATCATCTGTAATGCTCTGTGATGCCTCACCAACATCATCAGCATCCCCATCCCAGGACTACTTAATGGTACTTAGTGCTCATTCCATCCTTGTCTTGACTGAGTCCTGTCTCTCCACCATGACAGCTCTCAGCTCATACTCAACACACTTGCACTGCAATGATTTGTACTGTTGTTCATTTTGTTATCCTCACCTTCATTCTGCCTCACGTCACTTGTATCCTCAATTGTCTTTACCTAGTAGGATTGGTATAGTTGGTTTGGTGCGTCTATCTAGTTTTATTTCTCTACTAACTGATGCCCCCATCACTTCAGTCTCACATCATTTCGAGTCACAAGTCCTTGTGCTTGAACATCCACTATCCTGCTCATGAGATTAGCTTCCACCTTCCAATACTATCCACCTGTGATGTGGCTGATTGAGGGCAAGAGGGCACAAGTATATCCTCAGCACTGCTTCATCAATGCTTAGACATCTGCTATCATCATGCCCACCTTCTTGTCTCCCACCATCCTGCACAGCACTGCTTTCAATTTCTCCTCCCATAGCTTCATGGGGCCACATCAGCTCCACCACTTTATCCTCCAATAGACTTGGATGAATTCTGGTGCTGGTGATGACACCAACCTTGCTGAGATGTAATTTGGAATCTATGACCGTGGTATTCACAATATTCAGTGCGCATTCCAATGACATTCTTGTCGATTTGTATTGATATCTTTGTAGATACGAGCAAGTGTTCAATCATCTATCAATAGCACTCTGCTGGATGCTTCTGATGAGGGCTTCACTTTCCATGTTAGTTCACTAAGTCTATCTCTGAGCCTCTGAGTCTACTGTGCTGCAGATGTTGGTCTTTACTGATGATTCACATAGGTTCTTCACACCCTCAAGCACCACCCAATTGTGCCATCCCAGCCTTCAACACCTATTTCAATGTCCTCTGCTAGGGCCACATCAGTTCCACCACCAGCACCACCCACCAGTTTATCCTCCAACACCACTCCTACCACCTTCAAAACACGCCTACAACACCACAGGTGGAATATCATACAAGCACTAGCTCCAGGAACCAAGAAGATGGAAATGATGGAGGAGACCGCATGTTAAGACCATGCACAAAGGGTAGGACTGATTCTGAGGGGCTTGGCTTAGCTCGTGCGCTGTGCCCCTTACCCGAGTATGTGCCCTTAATTTCAGATTGGTGTCTGAGGAAAGTCCGAAGACATCCAAAGGCGCAGGAAACTTCGGAAGGACTTTCCGGATGGGTGCAAGTAACTTCCGGATGAGTGCGGGAAAGTTCCGGAGGAACTTCCGGAAATTACGATGAGGTTTTGTCCTGATACGGATATGTATAATGGCTACTCGGGACTTGTCCTGAGTAGAAGTAAACAGAGGAAAGGCTGCAAGGACAAAGTCCGAAGCAGAATAGGTCCGGAGGACCACGGGAAAGATCCAGATGAACTTCTGGAAACTATGGAGGATCGGATGAGCGGAGTATCGGATAAGCAGAGCTCCAGCCTAGGAAGAAACTCCCTAGGCCTGAGATGGATAACAACTAAGTTGGAAGACTAGAACTGATATGAGGACTTAGAGTGAAGACTAGTGCGAGGACTAATATGATATTCAGACTGAGGTACTACAAGACATATACACGAGTTTATATACTAAGAGAAATAATGGAAGGATCAATAAGCAGAGTCTGAGGCTATGTATGAAGCATATGCAAAGGTTGACAAAATGCGAGTCGGAAATGAACATAGGTTAACAGATCAGTAAGCATACCGGTAATAGATATAACTGAGGTACCGGTAACAAGGAATACCAGATAGGCTGTGTTAACGTTATATGCACAGGAAATGAATTATGAAGCTTATCGTATATCAGATAGGAAACAGATCTATACATCGGATCAGACCGGATCGGATATGGTCCGGATGAGATGTGTGGATATATAGGATGTGGCATTAGGGCAACGGGACAAGGATGAATGATGCAGGCTAGCTGCGAAGGAAAAGGGATCTGGACGTGGACATACGGATGTGGATGTGCAGAGGTGTAGGGATCCGGATGGGTAGAGGACTGGAGACATGGATAGGACATCTGAAGGTCCGGATGAGGCGTGGGAATATTCATCAGATGTAGGTCCGGAATATGGGATATGACACCGCACATGGGCTCATCAATAGTGGAATTGAACTGATGCTGTATCATTCTGAAGCAGTGCCAGGGCATGTATCTGTAGTCCATCATTGAATATAGATTGCTCAAGACACGGATGCAGACCAAAGCAGTGAACTAGTGAAAACTCAATCTTTTGGAGATTTCTCAAAGGCGCAAAAGAGCTGTTAATTGATTTTACTACACAAAGGAGAAAAAATATGTGTTAAGAGTATCAAATGGTGTACAAGTAACTATATACAAAGTAAAATCAAAATGCAATCTCGAAGGCATGATGGTCAGCATAGTTATTGACATAGTAGAGTTGAAACGCATCATAGGAATGATAAAATTTGAGTTCCCAAGACAGAAAGTCCGTGCCATACACAGGAATAAGATGGACAGCACAATAGATAGTGTCAATATGAATAATAGCGTACTCTGGGGTATTGTTTGCTCAAAATCCTGGACGAACCATCCACATTCATGTGTCTTCATCTGCAGCATTGTCAAATTAGTCGAACCAGTGGATCACAGTGCAAGGATACACTTTGCCCTGGTACTGGAATGAAAAAAAATGCACGAACTTTGAGACCTTGCATGCCAGGTAGACTAGAGTCTGGGTTGATGAAGACACTGTCATTGCATGAATACTCGTTCTGTCAGGAGGGGCAAGCATGGATGTGTTCAACGTGCATGCCACCAATACCGCTCAGATCACTCACTGCATAAAATCACGATGATGCCGAATTGAAGACTAGGATTTTGCCTGGATATAGTGGGCATTCAGTGAGAGGTATATTGAATGGATTGTGGGGATTGTCAGGATGCAGCTGTTGGAACAAGAAGTGACTGAGACGGTTGAGAGTAGGTGAGGAATATCAAGTGTGTCAGCAAGTTTTTTTACCCTCTGTACACTATATTTAGTATAGCATTAAAAATCAAGAAAAAAGAACCTTATGAGGTGTTCTCGCCAGCTGCACAAAGGCTTGGAGAACCATTGGTCCATCATCAAGGTTATGCATCGCAGTGGTATGAACAAATTTAAAGTTCCGTTAGCAATAGTGCACAGTTAAATTAAATTTATTTGCCTACCTTCTCATTGATCAAATTTCCAAGCAGGTAATATGCGAGTCTTCCTGTTGCGGTTGGGAGAATAGACTTTCTGACACTAATCCTAGATAGTCAGATAAATATGACATGCAAAGCTGAAACTTACATTTGAGAGGCCCATTCTGTATGTATGGACATGTGCACAGACAGTTATGAAGCCCAAGCTGAAGCACCAAATCATGTCAGCAAAACTTTGTTTGTTTAAGTACCGAACTTAGCTTGCCAAAGTTCAAATTCAACAATCCACCTGCACACCGTTCCTTAGGTGCCGTTTGGACAACAAATCCTAGGTTCAAAATTCCCGGTTCAAATCACACATGATGGCCGCACATGATATATGCTGATAGAGAATCATAGGATTAAATGTACATCCTGTTCTTATGCCCATCATGATTCCAGATCTTGAAGCACAAACACAGTGTCGACGACACCAAATTGTGATTATCATAACTATTGCCATTGCGCAGATTACCTACTTATACAACCTCCTGTTCTTGGCTCACACTGAATGAATTCCATACCATACATCAATCCTCACCAGCCAAGCTTGGGTCTACAAGCTCACAAGCGGTTATCCAGACCGAATTAAACATAACTTCAGCATCAACCTTGAGATGTTTGAGCAATTGTTAGACACTCTCCACCAACATGGTTTCATTCAATCGCACAACAGTGTCACCATTGCTGAGCAACTTGGTATCTTTCTGTACACATGCATTACCGGACTATCATCTTGTCATGTTGGAGAAAGATTCCAATGTTCTCCCGACACGATCACTAGGTAAATACATCAATTATTTGAGACTAGTACTGTGCTAACTTTTGCAGATATTTCAAACAGATGCTTGTGTTCTTCTTGTTGCATCCCTTCTACACCTCCAATGTCCAACTCCCAAACTATGATACTCCCATTTCCACAGCAGTACATGCAGACCCACAATTCAGATTCTTTGATGAGTGTATCAGTGCTGTCAATGGCACTCACATCTGGGCCTTTGTGCCACTTGAAGACCACACTATCCTGCATAACCAGAAGGGGTTTTTATCACAAAACTGCCTGTTTATATGTGACCTGGACTTTTATTTTATGTACTCACTCACAGGCTGGGACAGCTCAGTTGCTGATGCAACCCTCTGGAATGATGCGTGCTCTCATGATTTGCGCATACCTCCACACAGGTACCTTCTCGCTGATGTGGGCTTTGGTACCTGTGATGTGCCTTCAGTACCTTATTGGGGAGTGCACTATCACTTGAAAGAATGGCACCAAGCAAACATTGTGTGAGTGTATTTATTGTACATATCTGATTTGCTATTGATTTTTATAGGCCACACGACTCTAAGGAATTATTTAATCTTCGACATGCGTCACTATGAAACATGGTCGAACTGATATTCGGTGTTTTGCAAAGGCAATGGCACATTTTGACGATCACATCTGAATACAGCCTGCATATCCAGGCCCGGATCCCAGCTGTGCCATGCGTGATTCACAACTTTATGTGAAGGTACAATCCTGACAGTTTTGATCTCACTCTAGACCACGAGTATGATCTTGTGGAGGACAATGCTGTAGGACATGGGACACTGTTCAAAGGACTGGTGGATACTTTTGAGTGGAGATGAGCAGATGCTCGTCGAGAGGCGATTGCACTCACAATGTTGAGTAGCATTGGCCTTGTCCACACTAGCAAATATAGTGCAAGATTTGCTTTGGATAACAACTTGTAGGAGTTGAGACTGGCAAATACATTGTAAGCTTTGCTGACTTTATAAAGACAAGTGACATATAATAAACAAAATAGCTGACTAGTCTCTATAAATTGCTTGTATTGGCCTTTGTTGTCTGACTAGCAGTATTTTTGATCAGGATGTAATATCATTAGTTACATCAAACACTAGTTTAACATTGGAGTTGAATCTTTCAATCATATATAATAAAATACTCCCAGCACTCATAGAGTCCTCAAAGTGCCAGACATCAAGTTTATGTTTCAACATAGTAGTAGGTTTTCACTTATTGATCTATGTTAAGCAGGATATCATCACAACTACTCTGACCTATCATCTAATATGTCGCCTACTTTTTCTGCCCTTACCAATCTCAACTCTCACAAATATGGTTACTCCTATTATTAGCTCCCAGGTTGATGAAAAATCAGATGTTATTGAATGGTCTGATGAATTACTACTGTACTATCATACATCATGAGGGATGGTGTTAACATATGCAAAGAAGATACTAAAACAATGTCTTTCTTTTTTTCCCTTCTGGAATTGCTTTCTAAGACATCTAACAGTATAGTGATTGGTAGCGTATTGTCATACATAGTAAGTCTGTTTAAATTTTATATATTTATCACATGATCTAATGTTATTAATGGACAATGGATTTGGCATATCCTCATTAGCATACAACTTTCAAAAAGTTCATAAAAAGCATACATAATCCCAATAAGATTCAGTATATTCTTGAGACAAGGTGGTCTCCTGAGGTTCATACTATATCATCATATACCACCATACCACTAAATTGTCTATGCTTAGCACTCTTGACAGTGACATTGTTTATGGATGTAATCAAACTACCATTGACTGCCCCATCAATAAAAAATCTATTCAGATAACTTCACTATACATTCATAAGCTTTGATTCATAGCCCTATATATTGGACACATCCACACCATGACTTGGATGGTAGCCTGACTTTTGTGCAAGTCAAACAACATGTTCACAAGGACACCATTACTTAGACCAGGCTCTCCAAGATAGCCCCTAAGCTAACAGATCTCTACCAAAACTGCAAGAAAACCCAGGATATTTGGTATAAAGAGATTGTCACTCTCTTTCCTAGTGACATGCTATGAGTACATTATCATTTTATAATGATTTTCACTTATAATTGCAATTATATAACTGCTGATCATTTCCATGTAGTTTATACTTCTCCCTTGCTTATGGTCAATATATTAAAAAAGTTTTATTAATGAATTCAACAAGTATATGATATTTATTCTTCATGATAAAATACTTACCAAAGCCTACATTTTTATAGATGACTTACCTATCAAAGGAATGTCTGTATACATGATAGGACACCATCATACATGAAAAACTGGACTATTAGATATCTGCAAGTAGATGGTAAAAATGAACTACTGAGACCTTTGATAATGTTATTAAATGACAGGACATATATTTGTTTGTTGTGAATAATTTCTTGTTATGCTGACTTATCTGACACATGTTTTAACTTCTAATGTGTAGGCTATCATCTGTGTAACTTGGGGTTAATTGCTTGGTATGGCACTTATATTAGTAAATATTAAAATATCAAAATAATGTACTATTGTCCATACAGATAAAATTTCCTTTATATCCTCATACTATATAGCACTAGTCTTGAAATGCCTTATGAAAGAAATAGCCGCATCTGGCATAAGTTGAATGGAAACCCATAATCAATTTATGCCTTGGAAGACATATGAGGCCATGGGAAATTCTCTAGACCTGCTGACTCTGACCAGATTTGGGCATTTTTTGATGTGTAACTCAGTAGCTTCTGTTCCTTCTTTAGCTTCATATCATAGAATAAACCATACTAGTGCATATACTTCAGATCTGGTTTGATATTTTGGTTGCTGAATTGATTTTAATGATGAACATTGAACATTATGTTAGTTATATGATCATTCACCTCTACAGTACATATTTCTATATCTATTATATGTCTAATTGTATCATTACATTTATAGTATCACTTCTTGCACTTTGCTATCTATTTACATGACTTTCTAACCTCCCTAGGTCATTCATAGGTCAAGTTATCACTTACCTTTTGATTGTGGCTTGTATGTTTATTGTTTACCATATGTTGTCCATATCCAAGAGTCCAGTGCTCCCTGCCTCTTTGGCAACTCACTATAGACTCTAGTCTGATCTCTTCTGGTCTCTCATGTCATATCCCATGTTCTGAACCCAGACCAATCACACAATCATCTTTAGATGTCTAGATATGACCAAATTCTATCTTCCGCTTCTTTTCCCCTTTTGTATATCCTCTTTGAGTTAGCACCTATTTCCGGTCTTCTGGTTATATCCATATCCAACTATACTTATTTATCTGGACCCTATTCATTTCCAACTTCATTTTATTATGTTCCATTATACTATTGATAAGCTTTCCACATGCTTCATACATAGCTTTGCACTGCACTAACTGATCTTCCATTATGTTTCCTATAGTATATAAACTCTGTAGATTCTCTGTACATCCTTAGATTGAATATCATCTTAGATTCTGCTCATTCCTACCTCTG